TGACTGACCCTTAGTATAAGTGTTCTATGTGTTCTCTCTGGAAGCTTGGAGGATCATCTCTGTTTCTCCAGTTTTCTGGAATTTCATGCTGATGTGCCTTGAGGGGCCTCTTTATTCACCCATGTTCTGGGTACTTGGTGAGTGCTTTCAATATGAAGACTCAAGTCTTCCCCTTCTGGGAGATTTCTTGTATTATTTCTCTGGTGATTTCCTTCCTGTTTTTTTTTTTTTTCCTGTTCTTTTTTTCTGGAAGTCTTTTTTTTTGATATTGAATCTCCTGAATATATCTTCTAATTTTCTTAAATGCTCTCTCCTGTGTTGTCCCTGTCTTGGGCTTTGTTTTTGTTTCTACTTTCTGCAAGATTTCCTCAACCATGTCCAGATCTGGGATTGGGTAAGAAAAGTGAGGCTCAAGCCTTGGGTGCAAGATTTAAACAGGCACCAAAAAACTCAGCAATTCAAAAAAAAAGTAGTTAATGTAGTATTTTTAAAAAAATCAAATTTAATGTCACATCAGAGAGAGAGAGAGACAAATGATAAGAGACTCAACTCTAGGAAACAGGGTTGCTGGAGGGGAGGGGGGTGGGGGGATGGGGTAACTGGGTAATGGGTATTAAGGTGGGCACTTGATAGAATGAGAACTGGGTGTTATATGCAACTGATGAATCACTAAACTCTACCTCTCTAACTAATAATACACTATATGTTAATTGATTTTAAATAAAAAAAATAGTTACCCCATATTGAACAAAATATAAATTTTTTTTTTTTTATTCATGAGAGACAGAGGGAGAGAGAGAGAGAGAAGCAGAGGGAGAAGGAGGCTCCCAAGGAGCAGGGAGTCCGATGCGGGACTTGATCCCAGGACCCTGGGATCATGACCTGAGCTGAAGGCAGACGCCCAACCATCTGAGCCACCCAGGCGCCCAAAATATAAAATTTTAAATAAACACAGGATCTGACCCTGCACTCGCATGACTCACCTCATTACCCTAATCCTGGCTGACCACATCATTTAACCTTGCCACTGCATTTTTAAAATTCTGCCCTTTATTTTTTAGATAGGGTAAAGGATAAAAATGGTTTTTATAGATAAAAAGAGTTAATTTTTCATCCTCTACTCCTTTCCAGTAGCCTCCTCTTCTTGTTTTAGGGATATATATCTTCTCTCATTTTTGTGATGGTATTATGTACATATTTACATTTTCCTTCTGTTCATCACATATTTTTTGTTTCCCCTGAATTTCTGCACCACTGTTTTTGGCTATCTTTTTAAAAAAATTATTATTGAAGTATAGTTGACATACAATGTTATATTAGTTTCAGGTGTACAACACAGTGATTCAGTGATTCTCCACATTACGCAATGTTCACCACAATAATTGTAGCTACCAACTGTCATCATACAATGTTATTACAATATTATTGACTATACTCCCTATGCTGTACTTTTCATCCCTATGACTTTATTTATTTTATAACTGGAAGTTTGTACCACATAATCCCCTTCACCTATTTTGCCCATCCCCCTATGTTCCTCTCCTCTGGCAACCACCAATTCTCTGTATTTATGAGTCTATTTCCATTTTCTGTCTGTTCATTTGTTTTGTTTCTTAGATTCCACATATAAATGAAGTCATATGGTATTTTCTTTCTCTGACTTATTTCACTTAGCATAATACCTTCTAGGTCCATCCATGTTGCTACAAATGGCAAGATTTCATTTTTTATGGCTAAGTAATATTCCATTGTGTGAGTGTGTGTGTGTGTGTGTGTGTGTGTGTGTGTGTGTGTTTGCACATGTGTGCCATTTTTGTCTCTGCCTGTCAGTTTGTTTCCTCAGTGTCTGGTGGTCAATGACTGTCTTCTGCAAATTTAAGAGTGATGCACTAAAAAGCTGATTGTAAGCTCTGGGCATCCTTGTTCACTGGGATGTTCCTTTGGGGGAATTTCTGATGCTCTGTATCTCCATGTATTTTCTTTTGGGCTGGTCAATTTTCAAGGAGAAGATTCTTTCATGTTCCTGAGTGGGAAGCACAAGTCTGTTTCCCATACTCTCATGGCTCAGAACAGGGAGGGGACAGCATGTATCACCCCTCTTTCTAGTACAGTGCTCCAGCTCTCAGCGGCCCAGTGCCCCCTAGTTTCCTGCCTCTTACACTGAACCTCTGGATTCTTCTGAGGAGAGGAAGGGGAGTTGCCTGGCTGAGTGAGGGGGTTCAGAAATCTAATTGCTTCTTTCTGCAGGTTTCAGTGAGTTCTGCTATTTTAAGTTCCATGTGTAGCCCCACATTCAAAGCTAGCTTGCTACCTCCAATTCCAGGGACTTTATGTAGTTTTGTGGAATGGATTAGTCTGTATTTAGTTTTCCCTCACTGCTGGCTCTTTTTAAAAAGTTTTATTTATTTTTAAATTATTCTTGTGTCTGATAAGTAATTTGCAGCTTGTCCAGTGGTTGTTCAGTTTTAATTTTACAAAGCTATTGTCAATCTGTGACTCTCAATCCTTAGGGGTTTTTATCTTTTTTTTTAAAGATTTTATTTATTTACTTGAGAGAGAGAGAAAGAGAATGAGCAGGGTAGAGGGGCAGAGGGAGAGGGAGTAGCAGACCCCCACCCCCGCTGAGCAGGGAGTCGGACGTCTTGGAGGCTCAATCCCAAGACCCCCTGATCATGACCTGAGCCAAAGGCCCATGCTTAACCAACTGAGCCACCCTGGCACTCCCTGGTTTTTATCTTTTTAAATTACTCTTTCCATCATTTTAGTGGACAATCAATAAGGAGCAATGTAAAAGTTATAATTTTTTATTTAAACAAGATGCAAGGGGAACTTCTTTACAAAACTGTCTACACTGTACATGTATATCAAGCTCAAATTGTCTGTATTAGAATACAGTGAACTCAAAATAGGATTTTGTTTTTTTCCAGATTGAATTTAGAAAGTTAGTTATTTTTTTAGATCAGCAGATAATGACAGTGAGGGGGAAAAGCACAATGCCAGCACTCCATAGCACAATTACTAGAAGTGGGTTAGGAGTGGGTTTTCTTTTTTTTTTTTTTTTTAAAGATTTATTTATTTATTTGAGAGAGTGAGAGAGAGAGAGAGAGAGAGAGTACATGAGAGGGGGGAGGGTTAGGGGGAGAAACAGGCTCCTCGCTGAGCCGGGAGCCCAATGTGGGACTCGATCCTGGGACTCCAGGGTCATGACCTGAGCCGAAGGCAGTCACTTAACCAACTGAGCCACCCAGGCGCCCCATGGAGTGGGTTTTCATCTGCCTCTCATCAAAGCCAGCTTTTGTATTCTTCCCTAGCACACTAAAAGAAAGAGGACATTCTTTACATTTGTTTAATGTTCTATCCATTTAACAAGCTCTTGTTATCATAGAGGACTTGAGGCACACAAGCGAAGTGCAATGAGGTTTGGAGAAGTTCAGTTTTTCCTCTATGTCATCAACAACATAAACTTATTCAAATTCCGATCTAGATAATTTTTCATGCTATTTTAAATATATTAGCTATTTCAATATTTTAGATATTGGGTTTGCCAAATACTGATTTTTTTTACAGATGTCTGTGATAATGATACTTATGTTTCTGGTGGCGTGGTCCCCTTATTCCATCGTGTGCTTATGGGCTTCTTTTGGTGACCCAAAGAAGATTCCTCCCTCAATGGCCATCATAGCTCCGCTATTTGCAAAATCTTCTACATTCTACAATCCCTGTATTTACGTGGTTGCTAACAGAAAGTAAGTAATGTTTAAAATGCTTTCAAATAAAAAACATGGATATAGAAAGAATGTTAAAAAGATTTTTGGGGAGGTAAGTGACAGAAACTCACTTCAAACTAGTGTAAAAATTATTTGGCTCATGCAACTGGAGAAGCATCTAGGCCTTTAAATGCCTAGAGCTCCAGCTCTGGGACAGCCTCTTCCCATATGGAGGGGAGATGATTACTGCAACCCAAGACCCAAGTTCTACCAGCTAAGCCCCCCCAAATTCGAGTGTCATCTCAGATGGCTTTCTGGCAGAAAACCTGCTGGAAGGTGGTTGGTGGGCTCAGCTTAGTTCTCATGGCTACCCCCCTTCCCAACACATGGAATTGATTTTCCAAAGAAAAGAGTGATTCTATTTTCAGAAAATGGACAAGGTGAGGAAGGCAATGTTGGGCTCCATAAGTGGGTGGTGTAGTTGTATATTTACTAGAAAGAAGATAATCAAATGCAAGAGAAAAACTCAATGCTAAAGTAAAAGAGCTTCAGGAGTGGATAGTCATTCAGGACAATAAAGAATACTTCCTTCTCCCTTTGAAGGGAGCTCAGCAAAGATTTCTGTCTCCTCAGTGAAGGCTAGATTATTTTACTTCTGTTACTGCTAAAAGATGGAATAACTAATTTATTGTCCTTAAGTATTTGATCAAAAAAAATCTCAGTAGAGGCCAGGTAATTTGATCCTGAAATGCAAACGTTTGTATTTATGCACATGTTTGGGAGAGCAGCTTTAGCTACAGATCAAACTTTTAAGACCAAACAGATCACATAAGAAGAATAAAGAACATATTTTAAATTCAGATTCTACTGGTAGTTCTTTTGAAAAGATTAGTCATTCTCAAGCTCCCTTTAATTTCAACTGGCCTTTGTTCAGAACAAATGTGTGAAATGCATATCCTTAGTTCAAGTAAATTGTAACTGACATTTGAAGTGTCATCTTAAACAGACATCATTATTGATTTTTATTAAATGTCTTCAATGTTTATAATCAATGGTGCAAAACTCGTCTTTAACTATACTTTATACCTTATACATTTATGAATGTTCTTAACAGGAGATGTTAAAGTTGGAGGCAAAAATTTATTTGGAGATGTCAGTTAGCAATAGAGGTGTCTTAGCCATATTCGAAAATGCTTTAAGAGTTCCAAGTCATTATAGGATAACGCCAGATTTCCCCTTTCTTACTATAGATTTCGGAAGGCAATGTTTGCCATGTTCAAATGTCAGACTCACCAAGCAATGCCCGTGATGAGTATTTTACCAATGGATATATCTCAAAATCCACTGGCTCCTGGAAGAAACTGAAATAAGAGAAAAAGTACACAGCATCAAAATATCTTATTTACTTTCCCCCCCAGTGGTTTAGTTTTATTTTAAATATGATCCTGGTTAGATCAGATGCAGACATAGATTATTGTCTTATTAGACCCTAAATTCCTCAAGTGTAGCTCCTGGTTCTTCCGTTTGAGGGATGGCTATTCTAGTGATTGCTTATTTCCTTTATGTAAACTTACTATTCATCTCCTTTGATGAATCTAGGCACATGAGATTAAGGCCCATTCTCTTTCTCCCAATCATGGCATTCATTACACTGTATCAGTGACCTCGAAACTTTCCTGGACTCTCCATTAGACTAGAAGTAGCCACTATTTTAATGTTAAAATAAATTAATAATAATAATAATAATAGTCATCAATAAGTAAATTACTGAAATGAGTTGTTGGATGTTCCTAGGTAGACGGAAAACATTTTTAGAATTTCACACTTTTAAAATTGTAATACAATTATTAACTTCTACTATTTGACAAAAATATTAAACACTATTGCTTCTAAGTCACATTAGTTGATGCACATACTTTATATAGCAATATAATCTCTCTGCATATTTTATGTATTCTGCATTTTTAATTAACATTTTTCTGTATATGTATTTCCATATATTTGCCACTGGAATTTAATCAATTTTTTTGTATATTTGTTCTCTTCTTCCTGTTTTGTTTGTCTGAAATTTGTTTTATTCTGGCAAGAGCACAACATGGATCTATCCTCTTAACCAGTTTTTAAGTGTACAGTACAGTATTGGTAAATATGTGTACAGCAGATCTGTAGAACATGTTGTCTTGCTTAACTGAAACTTCATGTCCATTGATAGCTGTATGCTTGTTCTTTGATGTATCCTTAGCAGGTAGATGCATTTTGCCTGGCACATAGTAGGCACTCAATAAAAAATTGTTGAATGTTGAATGCATTTGTAGACTCAATTATTTGTTGTTTTACATAACCATTGTTTAAATAGTGGACATTTAAAATCTGTGGTATTTTTTTTTAATTGAGCAAATTTTTCTGACTTCATTGTTTCTATATGCATCCTATCAATTTTAAATAACATTTTAAATAACATTTCCCATAATATTCTTATTTTTATAGCATTGACTTTCTTTTGAAAAGATTTTTGGCTTAAATTGTTATAGAACCACCCAATATAATAACAAGATTAAATTATGTGTGTGTGTGTGTGTGTGTGTGTGTGTGTGTTATTGGGCAGGACCATTCAGGAGGTACCTGATGTGCCCAGATATATATGTGTGTGTGCGTGTTTGTGTAAAACCTAAATCCTTGATTGTCAATTTTCAATTGTCAAGATTTTCCATCTTATATACATGGAGGTAGTTTTTAATGATTGAATTTAATTTTTATTTTCTGATAGAGCCTAATTTTGCTAAAAGACATGACAGTTGATTTTCAGATATGGCTTGATGCCTGTATTGAGAAACTAGTTGAGAATAAAATATATTCTTGAAGATAGATCATGGCCTTCATTATAAACTGCTGGGATAAGCCTTACACTGCTCTGAAGTGACCTGGGAGAGCTAGTCTTAGTCCTGCCACTTAGTGGTGGATTGAAGCATTTTGCCTAAAAAATCTAGGTACTAGATTTTTTTACTTTGTTTTTGGAGATCATAAATGCAAAAAATAAAATTTATGTTATAAATAATCTGCAGTATTTTCTAGCATCTGCTAAAAGATTGAATTATTTTTAACATTAAGTGTATCTTCAAGACATAGTAGCAATTACATCCATAGAAAAAGGACTTAATAGGCATTTCCTTGCAAATTTGGATATGGGCACATATTGAAATTTTCTTGACATGTGCTTCATTTTCATTTTCCTTAGAATGTGTTACTTTGCTGAAATCATATTCAAAGGCTAGGTCGATTAATCCCCTGTAAAATACACTTGAAGGTTAAGTAACTACAGCTCTCAGCTAATCCCACGTAATCTGCTGTTACTAAATGGCTGTTTGTATTCCTGGCACACCAGTTTCTGAAGCTTAGGATTTGGTTTTTACTTTTTGTTCAAATAACCTCTAGAAAGAGTGATGTGTCTCTCAGCATGTCTGTGCATTGTGCTTATTAGCTTTTTGGAGGGAGTGAGCTGTTTATGTCCTTCACAGTGCACCTGCGATTATCATGGCAGAAATGACGGCACGGGATCAAGGTACGCTCCTCTCCTTGCTACTAAGTGTTCTAATGATTGTAAGGAAAAGAACACCTAGACAGCCTTGTTCTGAAAGCAAATTGTTGGCCAGGTATCAGAGGAGAGAAGGTTTAATTTACATAGCTTTAACTCCATTGTTTTAATACTGGTTGTCCACTTCATTGTTTTCATTTTGAGCAGCTTAGCTTTTAAAAGCCCCTCAAATTATTTGAGATTCTCAAACACATTCTGTATTGCAAAAATATCCATTGCACTTGTATTCACAACATGTCCCTGTCAGGAGGTCAAACCACTGAAATGAGTGTGGCCAGCTCAGTTTGTTTATAGAAAGAAAGCCTAGGAGGGAGGGCAGGTCAGGAGGTACTTGACGTGCCCAGATGATTTGCTTCCCTGATTTTCCATTTCATTTTGAGGGTTATTCATGCCAACTAGATAGATTTTAAAAAGCAGGAAGGAAGATCACAAGGGTGAAATCAGGTTCATAATTAAGATTTTTCATTTTAAAGTTTTGGAGTTTACAAAGAAAATTTGAAAGATACGGATCAATTCTGTCTGTTGCAGATACTGGGGGGCCTCACAGAAGTTAGTCAACCTCTGGGTTGCTTTAACATCTACCTGTGAATTGAGAATAATTACATACTTATATATATGTGAGTCCTTTGAGATAGAATTTAAATGCAAAACAGGACTTTTGTTACCTAAACATGGTAGAACTTGATTTTTTTTTTTGGAGAGGATATTTATTTGAGAGGAGAGAGAGAGCAGGGGGTGGTGGGGGGAGGGCCAGGTGGGGAGAGGGAGAAGCAGGCTCCCCGCTGAGCAGGGAGCCCAGTGCGGGACTCAATCCCAGGACCCTGAGATCATGACCTGAGCCCAAGGCAGATGCTTAAGGACTGAGCCACCCAGGTGCCCCTGGAAAAGTGTATTTAATAACAAAATAAGATTATTTTGTGACTTGGCTGAAGTGAACAGTGAGCCTCTTACAGAAAATAATTTGTCAAAAGAATCGCCCAATTTATGTTTTACAACTTTAAACAAATAATAATTAAACATATTTTTTAGTAGTTTGTCTTATTATTGTATGAACTTAACCAACTCATGGTATCTTTTTGAGATATTCACTAGGTGGTTTAAGACAAAGAGAACAATGTAACAAATTAAAGACCTACTTCATAAAGATATGAAGCAGTTAATGACTCAGGGCAGGGTACTTTTGAGGAAAGTCACAGAAATGTTTTTTTCTTGGTGATGGCCCCATTGTTGATGGATTTTATAAAAACCATAGTGTATTAGGACTCACAAGGACTCTAGAAATAATCTAGTTCAACTGCTGTCATTTTATAGACAAAGAAACACAACCATACAGAGATTAAATGACTTGTCCAAGGTCACAGCATTGAGCTGATGCAGGGACTAGTTGATAAGGCCTTTCAGCTTCCTATGTAGGCTTTCTTCCATCACACTGGAATGCTGACCTAATGAGTAGAAACCAGATCATTCCTGTATAAAGTAGCAATGGAATTTGTAATACAGAATAGAGATGAAGAATAAGAGGTGTTCCCAGAGAATTTCAATGATTCCATAGAGCCATCTCCTAAAGTTACAGAAAGGAGATGACCCTGTCGTCAGTACACCCCAGCGTTATGCTATCTACCTCTCTTCACATTATATGCTGACTTTTGAAATTCACTGATCTAATGTCATGTGTTTTTACTGAATGGCTGTTTCATTGTTATTATGTACAAGTATAATGTATTTGTACATATAATGTATTTATACATTATACAATTTAGACTATGCTTTGCAAAATTTTTATTGTCTCTTTTCAGCAATCCAGTGGGGGTGAGTATATAATGATAAATAGGTCTTTTTTCAGGTTAAAATGAATCTAAATTCTCTGATTCTTCATCCTTCACACCCACAAATGGGACGGGCTTGTTTTTCTTTTTAAGATTTTATTTATTTATTTGACAGAGAGAGAGACACAGCGAGAGAGGGAACACAAGCAGGGGCAGTGGGAGAGGGAGAAGCAGGCCTCCCGCTGAGCAGGGAACCTGATGCGGGGCTTGATCCCAGGACTTGAGATCCTGACCTGAGCGGAAGGCAGTCGCTTAACCAACTGAGCCACCCAGGTGCCCCGGGACGGGCTTGTTTTTCTATGCCTGTTTTACACGTGACACTAAACAAGATCACGATGTGACTTATTCAAGGTCACTTCAGTTAGTGAGTGGTAAAAGGAATAAACTCGCAGTTTCTGGTTTATTCCTTAGGCTGAAAGCAATGCGCCAGTCACATTATTAAAATAGAGTTCAACTTTAAGCATCTAGTGTGAACACTTGCTTTTTCTTTCTCCTCCCTCCCTCCCTCCCTTCCTTCCTTTTTAAAACCATCTTAAAAAGGATCAATTTATAACTTCAACGGGATTTTTTTAAAAAATAGGCCATTTCCTAAAGAGGTTGAGTGTGTATTTTGGAGTTGGACAGATGTGGGTTTGAAAGGCAGCTGTGTAACCTATTAGCTATGTGACCTTGGGCAGGTACCTCGTGTTGGTGGGCCTCAATTATTTTCTCTGTAAAAATGAGATTGATGATAAAAATAGCAGCCATTTAGTGCCTATTATGTGCCAGGAAGGTATAAAACTTTACATCCATTCCAATTAATTATCCTAACAGTGCTCTATGGGAAACTGAAGTTGAGGGACTGGTGAAGTGGCTTTTCATGGCCACAGAGGAAGTGGCAGAGCTTAGATCTGAACCAAGATCAGCCTGACTCCAGAGCCGGTGCCTTTACCCATTACCCAATATCTACCTTATAGGGCTGTTGATGATCAAATAAGGCAGATGTGGTATGTTGCACAGGCCTGACACATAAAGAGCTCCATCTGTATTAGGTTGAACCACCTGAAATTGCTTATATTTGATCATTTTTAACCTACAAAAATGGCCATTTCATATGGTTCAATCTAGAAGAAGATGATGAATTATGAATAGGTCAGTCAGGCTGAACGAATATTTTGTGAAACCAGTAAGAAATGAAAAAGTGATGCATGTTTCAGGTATTATTTTTTGACATGGGTCTTGGAAAGCAAGTTTCCTTCTGTTTGTCTTGTGACACTAGGTCGGTGCTATGCAATGACCTGGATATGAACGAGGTCCCTACAAACTTACCTGTGGACACTGTGAAGCTACGTCTAGAGAAGACTGTCATCCGCAGGATCCCTGCACAGGCCTTCTACTACCTGGTGGAGCTCCAGTACCTCTGGGTGACTTACAATTCTGTGGCCAGCCTTGATGTCAGCAGCTTTTACAACTTGAAGCAGTTGCGTGAGTTGCGCTTGGATGGAAATTCTCTGGCTGCCTTCCCTTGGGCATCTCTGCTGGACATGCCCCATCTGAGGACCCTGGATTTGCACAACAATAGAATAACTAGTGTGCCAAATGAGGTGGTCAGGTACCTGAAGAACCTTGCCTACTTGGATTTATCAAGCAACAGGCTAACCACACTACCACCAGATTTCCTGGAGAGCTGGTCCCACTTACTTACATCATCACAAAGCCTGGACCTTATACCACGAAGAATTATTCTTGGTAAGTTCAGAAGCCTCTGGGCTTCTCGGGTCCAGATAATTTGTTTTGCATGCCTTCAGTTGTCCAATCTTTTCATATGTATTGAATTTGGCTTCTTGCTCTCTACTTGCACTTTTGATGGGATGGCTCTTTATTTGGTTGACGTAGGTCAGCTGACCTGTTTACCCTGTGTAAAGTGTAATGGCTCTGTGTGTGTGCTGGAGTGAGGGCAGCAGTGCGTGTGTTGGGGGAGGGAGAGGAGAGCGCCTCATAAACTGAGAGACTAATGCTGCTGTTAGCGAGCCTGGGCTGAGTGATAAAATCTACCAACCTGCCCTGATTCTGAGGGCACATCAGTGCTCCATGCTCTGCCACAGTCAACCTGCTCTGTTCTCTGTTCAGCCCTTCAGCAGGCTCTTCAGGAGTGGAAGAGGGGCACTGGCATCTTTATGAGGTGGCAGCGGATTTATTAGTTAGGGAGAATAGCTTCCAGATTTTCTTAATCTAAAAAGAAATGATGAAGACAATCTTCTAATGGATTAGTGTCGCTGTGATTTGTTTTGTAGACTTTGATCTTGACTTTGTTTAGGTTCTGTGGGTATTTGTCTTTGGTTCTTAAAGTATAAACTCCTTCCACTAAGTCTCTCTCTTCCTTTTTTTGTATCTTCCTACAGTGCTTTGCATGGCACTCTGCACATGGTGAATGCCCAGTAAATATGGTTGCAGATTGAAATCAATGAGCTGAGACCCTTCTCAGGGGTACCTGTGGGCAGTGAGGCCTCTCATACTTATATGTGAGACATAAGCCTAAGGCTCTGAGCAATCAATTTGATCTCCTACTAAATTCTTGTTCACCCAATAAGGCTGTGTTGTCAGTTCACTCGTGATGTCCATCAGGGCCACGGAAGAGGTTGTATTTCACAGGATGAAAAGAACTGAGTGTTTGGCCAGTGAAATGACTTTTAAGCCTTTTGGTGTGAGAAGCAACTCGATGCTAAATTTGTGCCAGGAATCCCTATTGACCAATATCACATGCTCAAATATTTGCCAAAGTGAAGTATAAATAAATAAAGATAACTTGAATTTTTTTTTATAAAAAGGAAAATGCTGTGGCACCACTTAAATGATTTTAGCATTGCTTTGGTTGAAATGTAAATGCATTTTCGTGCTTATGAGACTAAAAGTATGAGTGATTAAAACCAAATAGAAAGAGGAAAAATCATGTATTTATTCTATACCTATTTTATGTTTGCCTACTGCCTATCTAGTGCTTCAGACATTTTTATTAGAGAATAAAAGAAGTATTGTAGGGTGAGTGGAAAAAACATTAATTTAACGATAGTTGTGGAGTACTTCTTATTATGTACACCATGATAGGCCCCATGTAAACCTATACTGTAGTATTTATTTACTTTATTTTAGCCACTAATTTAGTTCTTAGGACTAATAGCTGGAAATTGTCTTAATTTAAATATTGAGATTCTGTTTCTCTACACATTTTTCTAAGTTTCTTTAGATTTACCAAGAGGGGATATATAGTAGAAAAAAAAAGTCAAATTACTGAATTGCTATTAATAGCTCTCTAATGATTAGTTGCCAGTATTGCTAGTATCACTATAAAGAATTGATTTGGAGGACATTAATATTAACTCATTTTTAATGAGTTAAATCTGGATGAAAAATTAGGGATGAAATGAAAAGGGTTATGAATTTCACTGTCTACGGAGATAAACAGCTTTATCTATGTTATAGGGTTCAGATTCTGCTTCAAAACCATTCTTTAAAGGGGTAACATGAAAATGCTTTTGGTATAACATTAAATTTAAAAAGCAGGGTGTGTAATTGTACACGATCATACTATTTTAAAATGTGCAAAGAAAAAAACTGAAAAATACACTAGCTGGTTGACTCTGGCTCTTTGGGTGATGGGACATCTTTTCAGTATTCTGTATTTTCAAAATGTTCTGCATTGATCATGCATTACTTTTATAATAATGATGATAATCATAATAAATAACAAAAGACATTTTGAAACATGACTAGTCCAATGTGGCAGCTGATCTTCGCAAGGCCATGCCTGCTATGTAATGAAAGGGAAAAAGACGTGCTCTCCTCTAAAAGATTAGCTCACTGTGAATCACACACAGAAAACTCAGTTTTCTCATCTGGAAAATGGAGGTAGGAGGACTCACTCCTTCTTGCTTATTGGATTGTAATGAGAATATTATGAGATAGTTTATGTGACAGTTCTTTAGAATATGAGGTGAACAGCCTCTAAGGTTATGATTTTAGATCAACAATAATCCATAGCAGCTGAGACTGGGATGGGAGTGTCTTATAAAGAGAGACTCCTCTATTTTAGCTTTTTCTGTTATTTTGCCTATATCTGAGTCTTCCAATTTCATCATTAAAATATGGTGATGAAAAATCTGTTCTAGCTTTTCTAGAATTCAGTGTTTAACTGTAGCAGTTATAACTTTCCAGGTGCCCTGGAGAATTTACTTTTCTATTATTATAGTGGAATATAGTCTGTTTTATTTGTTAGTGTCTTGTGTTTATTATTGTTAGCAGATGGAAGTTCTGTTTGTAACAACAATAGTAATAGCTAATATTAACGGAGCTCAGGGCCAAACCTAGTTCTTATACTTTATAGATACAACTTCCGGTCTCATGTTAACCCTGTGGTAAGTACCATTTCATCCCTATTTTATAGTAGAAGAATTGAGACACACGTTAAGCCACGTGTCCAAATGGACCCATCACACAGTGATGGAGCTGGGGTATGAATACAGGTGGTTTGGCTCCACAGCTCATGCTGTTCCCCATTCCTTTGTCATGCAAGGTATTGTATGTAATAATACCAGAGTTCTCTTCCTCATATATGCATTACTGATCTCTTTAAGTCATGTATTTATTTAAAAAAAAATTAGGAAGAGGCTTTTCCATTCCTCCTCTTTTCTACATGAGTAAAAATATCAACTTAATAAAACTGTCCTCTAATGTATCATACAGACATAAACTAGTGTCCTGCAAGTAAACATTTAAATGAACTGTGAAACTAGACTGGATTTTTTATTTGCAATACAGGTAAATTTCCATGGCCTCTTCCTCAGGGATACACAAAATATTTACACAGGCAGACTGTGTAGGGCCCAACTCTCTTTGTCTTGGAAAAAGCATGCAGGAGGAGAGGGCATAAAATGCTTTTTTGGGGGCTTTTTACTGGCACTCGAATTTGCTCAATTGCAAACATGAGTGCTTTTCCTGTTCAGAATAAAGTTTACCTGAAGGGCAGTAGCCCCACGAGTATTCCTACAAAATTTTTCTATAATGGCGTTCATTTAATTCAAAAACACTCCTCAGTCCCTGTTGATATGCCTGTTCTTTTCGAGGCACAGAGGAGATAAATCCACATAGTTAACTCCTTGCCAGGTGCTGTTTTGGGGACTCCTTGGCAGTATCTCAGCCTTCAGGACAATGCTGTAAAATGGGTCTGTGATTATTACCTGCTTTGCACAGCTGGTGAAGACAGAGTCAAGTTTCAAGTTCAGTCCATCTCCAGAGATATCACTCTTTTGTTTTTAAAGCCTTTTCTAAATTGAGGAGTTGAGGTATAATTTGCATACGTGGATCTTAAGTGTACAGCTTAGTAAATGATGATAAATGAAATACCCCCACAAAACCAAACCCTCATTAAGATATGGAATAATTTCATCACACTGGAAAGTTCCCCTGCTCCTCTTCTCAATCAGTGTCCTCCATTTCAAGCAACCATTGTTTTTATCTCATTGCAGTAGGTTAATTTTGTCTGCCCTAGAATTTTACGTAAATGGAATCATGTAATATGTCCCTTGTGCCTGGCTTCTTTCATTTAGCATTATTGTTTTTGAGATTCATCCATGTCTTTACATGTATGGGTAGTTCCTTCTGCTGAATCATTTTCAGTTTTATGAATATATGAATTGTTCATCCGTTCTCCTGTTTTTGGACACATGGGCTATTACCAGTCTTTAGCTATTATGAATTAAGCTGCTATTAACATTCTTGTGCAAAGCTTTTTATAGCACATATTTTCATTTCTCTTGGATAAATTCCTAGTCTTCAAATTGCTAGGTCGCAGGATGGCTATATATCTTTTTAAGAAGCTGCCAATTTTCCAAAGATGTTGTACAATTGTATACTCCCACTAGTACTGTACAAGAGTCTACTTGCTCCATAGCCTTACCAACACTTGATGTTGTCAGATTTTTCTCATTTCAGCCATTCCTGGGGGTGATGGGTCAAGGAGTGATTTGACATTGTGATTTTAATTTGCATTTCCCCGAAGACTAATCGTGTTGACCATGCTTTCATTGGGTTATTGGTCACTGCTACATTCCTTTATGCCAATATATAATTTTTAAATTTTTTATTATTAAATACAAGCCTTTTGTTAGTTACATGTGTTATTGATATTTTCTCCAAATCTGTGATTTATTCATTTTCTTCATGGTATCTTTGGTAAGAAAGTTTTAAATTTTATTTTATTATTATTTTTTTAATTTTTCTTTTTTTTTATTTGACAGAGAGAGACACAGCGAGAGAAGGAACACAAGCAGGGGGAGTGGGAAAGGGAGAAGCAGGCTTCCTGCCGAGCAGGGAGCCTGATACAGGGCTCGATCCCAGGACCCTGGGATCATGACCTGAGCCAAAGGCAGACGCTTAACGACTGAGCCACCCAGGCGCCCTGAAAGCTTTAAATTTTAATGACATCTGATTTATCAGTTTTTTTCTTTTATAGTTAGTGCCTTGTGTGT